ATTTCTGGAACCAGATGCACTTTCATAATACCCCTTACGAGCGATGCCATGTAGACATTTTGCTCGATCGACGGGGCACCACCTACTGAAATTTCCTTCTTTCCTTTTAGTTTCTACTCAATTACTTACCATTCGTTGATTAATTGGTTGACGGTAATCGTTGATTGATTGGTTGATGGTTACCAATGCGGGTAGCTTTGACATCCTCCAGTTAACGGATACCCCTCTTTCCTTTTTTAGACGGATTACCATATTCCCATCGATAGAAAGTGTTTTTCTCCTTCCCTGTGCTTTGAGCATCATCATCATCATCATCCATCATCCCCAACATCATCATCATCATCATCATCACCAACGGCTTCAGCTGCGGAACTACCTAGTGGAAGAGAGCATGCAAACCGCCATAGCCATCATCATCATCATCATCATCATCATCAATAGTGGCCGATTCCTAAGCTGAAGCCATTGATGATAATGATGATGATAATGATGATGATAATGATGATGATAATGATGATGAGATAATGATGATGACAATGATGATGATAATGATGACGATGATAATGATGACGATCACGATGATGTCGAGTATGATGAAGACAAGGATACAGATGAAGACGTGGGTTTCTTTTTTTTTTGCCTTTCCCTACCCATGTGGGTAAATGTGGGTAAATGTGGGTAAATGTGGGTAAATGTGGGTAAATGTCAACAGCTGCAGCTGCGGCAGAGTACCTCTTTGAAAAGAGAGCATGCGCACTGCCATAGCCATCACCACCCTCATCATCATCATCATCATCATCATCATCATCATTCTATCATCATCGTCACCATCATGATGATGAGCATGATCAGTAACTTTAAATCACCGTTAGCAGGTACTACTGTAATTACGCTAACGGTGATGATGACGCTCGGCGCGCAGCGGAGGACGTACGTTTCGAAAACGTCTGCCTGGCAATGACGCTCGGCACGAAGCGCACAGCGCGCAGCCAGCCACATGTTCCCCCGCCATTACGAAGAGGACGTACGTTTCGAAGAAGTCTGCCTAGCAATGACGCTCGGCGCGCAGCGCGCCGCCAGCCACATGTTCCCGAGCGTCATTGCCAGGCAGACTGCGCGCTGCACGCTGGATTGAACCGCCTTCCGCACGGCGCGGTTTTAAGCCGGAGGGCGGTTTAAGTATCTGCCTGGCAATGACGCTCGGGAACATGTGGCTGGCTGGCTGCGCACAGCGCGCAGCCATCCGACTTAAACCGCGCGCCGAGCGTCACTGCCAGACAGACTTTGTCGAAACGTACGCCCTCCGCTGCGCGCTGCGCGCAGCCATCCGACTTAAGCCGCACGAGCAGCACAAAATCAATCAATCAACTGTCTGGATTGAACGGCAGCCTGCCACGTGACTGGGCAGTACCGACCCCACTACCTGCCTTTTTTCCTACACGCGCAGCGAACAGGACACCGCACAACGGACTCAGAGAAAAAATATATATATAATAATTAATAATAATATTCCAAAACGTAGCTAAGAGCCCAAGAGGATAGAATTAAAAAAAAAAAAAAAAAACAGACGAATACAGCCCAGTGAGCGATTACGCTTTCTTCGTCGAAGGATGGCTGCTTCCAGGTCCGATAGACTATTGGAACAATATAGAGTACAGTAAATACGTACGTAAGGGCATTCCCCTTACGGGGCTTACGGTTAAATTGGAACGACACAGAGAAGATCAGCATGGGAAAAAAAAAAAAAAAAAACAGAGAAATGATTTGGGTGCCCCAGAGACGAGAGAAAAGAACAGGCAGGATGACATATATACTTGACAGTAAGACTTACGTCGATGCATCTGATCGCGTTTACGGCCAGATTCATCCGGAAAGAACGAAGTGTGATTACGTCCAAGGAAAACATTAGAAGAGTTCCAAAAAAAAAAAAAAAAAAAAAAAAAAAAGAAAAGGCAACGGTTCGTGGGTTAAGAAAGAGTTGACAAATAGATAACGAAAAGTGAAAGCGATGAAAATAAAAATAATTAATACAGTAATAAATAAAATACAAAGAAAGCGATGAAGTGCTCAAGAGGACAACAAGGAACCCGATAAGGCAAAGGAAAGAGCGAACCAAAAAAGAGAAGCGAAGGGGAGAGAGAGAGAGGAAGAGAGAGAGAGGAAGAGAGAGAGAGTAAGAGAGAGAGAGGAAGAGAGAGAGAGGAAGAGAGAGAAAGGAAGGGACGTGAGTTAGAAAAAAATGGTGGGCGAGGGGCGTGGGAAAGCAAAATGGTATGGATAAAGATGGGGACAAAGCGAGAGTTAAAAAACGACCCCCATTCATATGACAAGGTGAATGCAATGACATGAAAACGACAAATACAAAAAAAAAAAAAAAAAGGCAAAAAAAGGAAAAGTAAGGGATTGCAGATAAGCAAGAAGAAACAACCCCCTGCTGATTCCCACAAACACACACACACACACACACACACACACACACACACACACACACACACAAATAGCCTCCTCTCATAGTCCATGACATAACGATGATTATAATGATGATGATACTGATGATAATAAAGATTACGACTACGGCGATGATTTACGGATAAAGATAAGGCTGTGAAAACATAAAAATAAATAAATAAAAAAAAAGATAAGGATAGGGATGATGAAGATTATGAGGATGAGGACGAAGAGGATAGGATGGTGATGATGAGAAGAACAGTGGTAGGTAATGGCGGGACAAGAACGCTCACGAGGGGCAAAGGAGGGGTATACACACATATATATACAAATATATATATCGTATATATATCGTCACATGAATATGAGAGCGCAAAGACGAAAACAAACAGAAGAAAACAAGAATATATAGAGAAATCACCCTTAACCGTTGGCAGAGAGGAAGAAAAGGACAATGAACATTTTTGATGGAACTTCACCCTCTCATCAGGAGGCTATATTGATTTTCGTCACAGGTACCTTGAGGGCAGTGGTTGGTGGTCCCCACCACCTCAGAGGGGTATCAGTTGTCGGGCAGTCGTTGACGCTTAACCACAACCGGGGTCTAGGTGGATTACCATTTACAGTGTAATCAGTTATAAGGGGAATTCTGCAGTCTGTTGAGGGTTCAGCCGCCTCCTGATGAGTAGGCAGGTGAAACAGTCCGACGAAACAGTTTGTCACAGCCCCTCCCTCGTTTGTTGTCCTCTTCTCCCTCCCTCTCTGCCCCTACAGTTTACCGTGCAGCTCTGTTTGAGCTCTGTTTGAAGATATACATATATTGTCACATTGTGAATCAGAGCGCAAAAAAGGGAAAAGAAAAAAGGAAAAGGAAAAAAGGGAAAGGGAAGGAGGTAAGGAAAGCTCCACCTGTTCATAACCTCTTACGTACAAGGCCAGCCCCGTGGATGACAGGTTAAGCGCTGGCTGCCCCCATCCCCGTGTGTCACAAGGACCCCCCACTTGCACGCAGCCAAAAGGCAAAGAGGTAAAGAAAAGGAGGAGGAAACCAAACCTGACAGGGAAAGAAAGATAATCCAATTGTCACAAAGCAAATAATATTGTCACATGATATATCGTATATATATATATCGTATATATATATATCGTATATATATATCGTCACAAACAGAACTGCCCGGTAAAACCGTAGGCAGAGAGAGAGAAGAGGACAACAAACGAGGGGCTGTGACAAACTGTTTCGTCGGAGTTTCACCGACTCATCAGGAGG